GGAGGGATTTTTAAGGATAGGAGTGATGACGACTGATTTTACTGCGGTGGGAACAGTACCAGTGGACAGGGAGAGGTTATGCTGTCTGTGAGTAGAGGGGCAGGGAGATGGAGCTGGAGGTAAGGAGAGGGGTAGGGATGGGGTCGTGGGAGCAGGTGGTGGGTTTCATGCGGATTATGGTGGCGGTGAAAGAGGAGGGGGAGACAGGTTCGAAAGTGTGGTGAGAGGGATGGGTAGGGCCTGGGGTGGGAGGGAGCTGCTGCTGAGCTTATCTGGAGCCTCCAGCTCCGAACCTGAGTTATGTAAAGAGGTAATCAGCAGATCAGCTCCCAACCTGTGTCATCAGAGGGGAGGTTCAAGGCCAGTCTGACACACAGAAATAACATTCCCAAAGCACCAGAACAAACACACTCGGGGAGAAACAGCTTTGTTTTGCGGCTGGATTTACAATTCAGAGCAAAGTGAGCAAGGGAGGAAGAGAGCAAGAGAGAGAGAGAGAGCTTGGGAGAGAGAGAGGGAGGGAGAGAGGAAAGGAAGGAGAGAGAGAGAGAGAGCAAGAGAAAGAGAGACTACTTGGGAGAGAGGAAGGAAGAGAAGAAAGGAAGGAGAAAGAGAGAGAGAGACAGAGATAAGGGAGGGAGAGAGCAAGAGAGAGAGGAGAGAAGGAGGGAAAGAGGGAGGAAAAGAGAAAGAAGGAGTGAGGAAAACTAAAAAGGGGGGGTCGGAGAGAGAGATGGGGCAACGGAGAGGGAGACGGTAAGAGAAAGAATGAGAGACGGTCTGCAGCCAGTCCCCACTCATTGCACTGAGATACTTGATGGGTTTGCAGCTCAGTTCTAAGGAGACCATTCAGCACACGGAAGCTGCAGTGTTGTTGAACCCGATGTGGTAATCAGGACACAATCACTCACTTCAGCCTCAATTTCCTCGTGATTGTTCTCTCTGCAAACTGATGCCTAAAATCAGTGTCGCTTGAGAAATATTCCTGCCTCTCTCTCAGCTGCCTCCGAACCTCCCCACGTCATCTGACCCCTGGACTTGAGCAACATCTGCAAAATATTCTTTCCCTGAGCTCCCTCCACCAGCTCAATAATTATACACCACATAGTCATAAAGTGCCAGAAGTTTCCACAACAAAGTGATCTCCTCTCGACCATCTCCCCGTTACTCTCGCGCTCTCTCATTGCCCCACCCCACGGCTTTGCCACCGATGTGATTTCCTGCGGGTTGAGCAGAAACCAGATTTGCAGGGAGCACCTGCGCAAAGTATGGATGTACAGTAATGCAGGAAGTGATCTCATTGGTGACCAGATGACCTGGAAGTCGGCCATTTTTTAGCACAGGCGCCGGAACATGTACACAGGAAGTGCTGTCGCAAAGGCCACTTTAGCTTCGTGTCCTGCACAACACCAGCTTCTTCTGCAGTTAGTGCCTATAATATCAAAATGTCTTGAAACATGTTACAGGTCATGGGGACTTGTTGACCAGTAAGGACACCGTGAGAGAGAGAGAAACTCCCTTCCAATACCTCTTCGGACCCAGGGCACAGGTGGGAGTTTGGAAAAACAACTCACAATTGACTAACGGCCCAATGATTGAGTGACAGCGGCTGAAGAGGAAGGTGATGGTCGTTCTGGGGGATGCAGGTTGTGGGGGGGAGTGAATGAAGATTGCAGTGGGGATGATGGTTGCTGAGAGGTAGTGGTTGCCATGGGAGTTGGTGGTGTTGGTTGCTGGTTGCCAGAGAGGTGATGGTGGTTGCTGAGGTGGGGTTGGGGAGTGGGGTGGGGGGGTTGTCGGAGAATAGTTATGGCCGGGGGGGGGGGTTGCTGCCGAACGAGGGTGTGATGTGGTATGGGTGGGGGGACAGGTTGCTTGGGGGGTTGGTTGCTGAACGTGTGGTGGTTTCCAAGGCGGGAAGGTTTTCCGGGGATGTGGTGAGTGTTGTCTCTCTCTTCCTCACTCCCCTCTCTCCTCCTCTTCACTCTCTCTCCTCCTCACTCTCTTCTCCCTTCCTCACTCTCCTCTCCCCCCCCTCTCTCCCCCTCACTCTCTTCTCCCTTCCTCACTCTCCTCTCCCCCCTCTCTCCCTTCCTCACTCTCACCCCCTCTCTCTTCTTCACTCTCTCTCTTCTTCATTCGGCTCTCTCTTCACTCTCCTCTCTCTCTTCACTCCTCTCTCTCTCTTCACTCTCCTCTCTTCCTCACTCTCCTCTCTTCCTCACTCTCCTCTCTTCCTCACTCTCCTCTCTTCTTCACTCTCCTCTCTCTGTCTTCCTCACTCTCCTCTCTCTCATACTTCAGGCTCCTCACAGAGCAGGAACAGTTTGTTAATGAAGAATGAGTGGAGAAAAAGAGTGAAAAAATGAGTGACATGAAACAGAGAGTGAGAGAAAGAGGAGAGGAAGTTAAACAAAGAGAGAACGAGAAAATGTAAATCAGAATGAGAGTGAGAGAGACAGAATGAGAGAGGAGAGGAAATAGATAGAGGAAAGAGACAAGAGCGAGAGATTAGGAGACAGAGAGTGAGAGGAGGAGAAAAAGACTGTAAACCAGAGTGAGAGACACACAGACCCACAGATTCGGGGAGAGAGAGAGAGAGAGAGAGAGAGAGAAAGAGGCAGACGAGGACAAACTGAGAAACAGTGACCAGGAGAGAGTAAGAGATAAAAGAAACTGAAGAGTGAGAGAGAGCGAGTGAGAGAGAGAGAGATGTCTGAAACCAGGGAAAAGAGCCTTGCAGCGAGCAGGAAAATCAGGAAATAAACTGCGGGAAGGGGTGACCAGGGAGCAGTGAGTGGCTACAGCACCTACACTGTGAACACGCCACACAGCACCTTTGTAACCTACCCGTCACCTCAGGAGTTGCCATATTTAGTGATCTCCCGCTGCCTGTGCTAACAGACTGCAGCTGTACATTCCTGGTGTCTGCAGCCCATCAACACTGAGCTCCACGTCCCAGCGCAGAGCGAATCAGAGCAGTATTAATTGGATGACAGATTAAGAAAAGAACTCCACCTCCTTCAGGATGTCTGGCTGGATTCCCCAGGTTAACCCTTCCTGTTACCGACCGCCAGAACACTTCACGCTCTCTCAGCGAGTCAAACAAGTCAACATGGGCAAGCTCCATGTCGAGGTTTGGAGTTCAAGCCAGGTAGACTCTCCACATGAGCTTGCCATGTTTATCTACAGATCTGCAGTCACTACATCTGACAGCAATTCCTTGTGAAGTGCTTTGAGATGGTTTCATATGGTAGCTGCTGAATCAAAGGATAAATATTATTACAGCTACAGTGCTTTCTGTCCACTATTCAATCACAAACCATCACCCCCTCCAATCCACTGCCATCACCCCCACCCCAATCACTGTCACCCCCCCCACCCCCCAATCCAATCACCCCCACCATCCCAATCCACTGCCATCACCTCCACCCCACACCCCCCCAATCATCATAATAACCAACCCTATGTTTGATCCATGTGATTATACCGTCGAATTTCTCTCAGTGTTTCACAGGGAATTATTATCAAGTGTAGTGTCTGCCTATTTGTTGGTGAACGCAGCAGTCAATTTGCACATAGCGATGTCCTACAAATAGCCGTGAGGTGAACAAGTCATTAATCCGGAGATTGCCCGACAGGACACTGGGAGAGAGAAACTCCCTTCCATTTTCAAATACCTCTTGGGGTCTTTAATGTTTGCCTGAACAGACACAGACAACTCGGTTTAACGTCTCATTCGAAGGATGGCACCTCCTACAATGGAGCAGAGTCTCCAGTGCTGGGCTGCAGTGTCAGCCTGGACTGTGAGCTCAAAGTCCCTGACGTGGAGAATCAACACACAACCTCCTGAGTCCAAGGCCAGAGCGTGAGCAGACTAGCCAGGCTGAGACATCACAAACATCTACAAATATTTCTGCAACAGCTAAGACACGGCAACAAAAACACTGAAAAAAATACAACATTCTTTCTTCTGGAATCCCATCTCAGTCACAATCTTCAACATCAACATTCTTGTGCGGTTTTTAAAGCTCCACCGAGACGTAACTGCGTGTTACAGGGAACCTCAGCCAGGCAAGAGGTCCCTCCACCCCTCACCTCTCCAACAGTCAGACTGCTGGCAAAACAACTCCTAGATCATTCCTGTTCCAGCTCCCCACCTAACTGTCCCCCCCCAGCCGCCCATCTAACTGTCCCCCACCCCCCAGCTCTCCTTCTAACTGTCACCCCCACCCCCAGCTCCCCATCCAACTGTTCCCCCTACCCCCAGCTCCCCATCTAACTGTCGCCCCCCCCCCCCCAGCTCTCCTTCTAACTGTTCCCCCCACCCCCAGCTCCCCATCTGATTGTCACCCCCACCACCCCCCAGCTCTCCTTCTAACTGTCACCCCCACCCCCAGCTCCCCATCCAACTGTTCCCCCACCCCCAGCTCTCCTTCTAACTGTTCCCCCCACCCCCAGCTCCCCATCTAACTGTCGCCCCCCCACCCCCAGCTCCCCATCCAACTGTTCCCCCACCCCAGCTCCCCATCTGTCGCCCCCCACCCCCCAGCTCCCCATCTAACTGTCGCCCCCCACCCCCCAGCTTTCCATCTGACTGTCACCCCCCCCAGCTCCTCATCTAACTGTCCCCCCACCCAGCTCTCCCTCTAACTGTCACCACCACCCAGCTCCCCATCCAACTGTTCCCCACCCCAGCTCTCCTTCTAACTGTTCCCCCCCCCAGCTCCCCATCTAACTGTCGCCCCCATCCCCCAGCTCCCCATCTAACTGTCCCCCCAACCAGCTCTCCCTCTAACTGTCGCCCCCACCCCCCAGCTCCCCATCTAACTGGCGCCCCCACCCAGCTCCCCATCTAACTAATCTCTCCCCCCCACCCCCCCCACTCTCCCATTCCAGGTCTCTCACCCTCACTCAGCTCACACCCACCCCTCTTTGATTGCAGGACCACTGGATTATTCACAGGAAAACAGGATTATAAAATATAAGCATCTTCTTACCTTTCGCTCATACTCCCTGTGGCACGTTAACCTGCACACTGTCAACGAGACAGAGAGCGAGAGAGAGAGAGACTGAGCATTAGAAACCAACCACAATTCCACAGGAATAAGTTAATCAAAGCAAAAGTGCTCAATAGTGAAGGAGCACATGAACAGTCACACATACACACACATTCATATACACACAAATATCCCATACGTGTGCCAAAACACAACCACTTAGTTTCACCCAGGGCAGAAAATGAACAATAATAATAATAATCCTGGTATTTGATCTATTTGGTTTATAAAACATCTCAAAACGCTTAAGTGTAGTGACTGTGTGTTTTGTGGGCCAATGCAAAAAATATTTTGGACACACAAACTGCCATTAGGTGAGTGCGTGATTGATCTGGGGGATAGTTGGCCAGGACACCGGGAGAGAGAAACTCCCTTTTCTCTTTTACAATAGCCTCGTGAAATCTTCAACGTCCACCTGAACAGAGAGGTCCCTGACACCATCTCCTCTGTCGCTTCTGCAATGTGGTGTTGGATTCTCAGCCGAGACTGTGAGCTCAGAGTTCCCCCCGGGGGGACACGGTGCACACGGCTGAGCCAGTCTGATGCTCTCCGTGGATCTTCAGTGTGAATTGGATTTTGAGGTGTGAAGGAGCTCAGGAACCTGCGTACCCACAGCAATCACACGGTGAGTGAGGTCACAGGAACATTCACTCCTCACACACACTGGGAATGTTGCAAAGCTACACAGCGAGTGACCCTCACTCTGTGTACACACAGTGACCCCACGCAGTCACACAGCGAGAGACCCTCACTGTGTACACACAGCTCCTCCGCGCAGTCACAGTCAGGGAGACTAGTTTTATTCACGTGAAAGGTGATGTATAAATATATCCAATTTCACATTTCCAATGTCATACCACCCCTCCCACACACACACACATACACATACACACACATATACACACACACATACACCCACGCATATATACACACACACACATATACACACACTCACACTCAGACTCAGGATATGACATTTGAGCGTCTAAACTCAACCGATTTGGACAGAAAATCTGCGCTCCTCCGGTCTTTTTGGAAAAGTGCAAAACAGCGATGACTTTTGAAGCTGAGTGGTGTTGTGGGGGAGGCCATGAGAGCCACTCACTGGGCACTCACTCACTCACTCCCACCCACTCACTCACTCACTCACTCACTCTCACCATTATGTTTCCTCCGGACATGACAGACGATGTCCACCAGAGAGCAGTAGCGCACTGCACCCTCTGGTGAGGACCTCTGCGGAGTGAGGAGTCTGTAACCAACTGATATCAGGCAATACCAGAGGAGCCTCACAGCCCAGGGGCTGGGGAGGGGGAGGGCTGGGGAGGGGGAGGGGAGGGCTGGGGAGGTGGGGGGAAACCAGCCCAGGCTCCCCTACTCCTGAACACCGTCTGAAGACCCCCCCTCCCTGGTGTAGGAGTCGGGGCGAGGACACACACACAGTCACACTCCACCCCACACAGACACACATACAGTCACACTCCATCACACACACAGTCACACTCTGTCACACACACAGTCACGCGCTCTCACCATCACAGGCTGTCCCATTTGTGCTCTCGTTCTCATGACAAACAGGGCAAGGCTCTGCTTGCCTCGCAGCCTTGGCTTTGAATGTGTGGCTGTTCGTGGCTTCAGCATCTTCTGGCTGCAGAGAAAACACAAGAGTTAGCACATCATCAGCACATGGTTAGCACGTGAGCCACGTGTGGTGAGCACACGGTTAGTACACGATCATCACACAGCCAGCACACCGTCAGCACACGGTTAGCACATGGTTAGCACATGGTTAGCACGGCACCAGAATGTTGACTGCACATCGGCCACATATAATCTGTAGGGTCAGTGCCTGAGATGTGGTCCTGGGTGTCGGTCTGGGTTAGTTCCCAGGCTCCGGCCCCACACTCTGTGCTGAGTCACGGCTGTCAGCCAGGGCAACATGTGGCCTCAGTCCGCCGCAGGGTTGGTGTGAATGCCCCTCTGATTGGGACCAGCCGGCAGCCCCCCCCCCCACATGTGCTACGTGACTTGAAGCCTCGTACAGATATTGCGAGTCCTGCTCAGCCCAGCCTTGCTCGGGCCCCTCTCTCTCTCTCTCTCTCTCTCACACACTCGCTGCCCTGTCGACTCTGGCTCAGAAAACAAATAAATCAAGAGTATCAGCAGAGAGTTGCTCCCCAGCCCCAGCGCCCACCATCACTGCACAAACACGATGAAGTCTTAATCCGCCTACGAGCACACGTTCCCCAAAGCTGCCCCTTCTCCCGCACGCAGCCCTGTTGGGCTGGCTCAGGCTCCCGTTGGTCGGCCGGGGTTTCATGTACACAGGGTGTCAATCTGACTCCTTCACTGTATTTAATCTTCCCACCTCCTGTCTGACAAAGCCACGGACAAAATTACTCATTCACTTTGTGGCTGCTTTGTGGGACATCGCTGTGTGCAAATTGGCTTCACCTACAAAATGCACAGTCCCTCCACTTTACAGTGACTCCGACGAAGCGAGTTAAGCCATCTTGCCAACGTGGAAGAGTCCACATGTAATGCACAGATTATTGTTAGACACAATAGCGAGGGCGGAAGCGGTTTTTCTGTTATTTTGTTGAATTGCTGAGTTGACCTCCTGGAAGGTTCGTTCCCAGATGAGAGGTTATAATTGAGTCACTGAATGTGTTGCCAACTCAAATCTCACTCAGTTTGTGGGGGGCAGAAACTACACTGCACATGAGTTAACCATTTACACACTCGGCAATGGGACAGGAAAGAGAAAGAACCATAGTGGTTAGATTACCATTACCTGGTCCCAGTTAGTACTTCAAGTTTGGATCTGAAGAGAAATCTGACCCTTCCTCCTCGCCCCTCCCCTCCCCCCCCCCACACACACACACGTCCTGGAGCACTAGGGTGGCCCCAATCTTACTGAGAATCACATTACGTTTGTTCTGTACTGGATTTCCCATTTACTGGAGCTCTCTCCTCTAATCCCACGCCCCTGCTTTTGCCACGCGCCCTTTTATATTGTTTCTTTTCAAGTATTTATCCAATTTCCTTTTAATTCCAATTGTTGTTCTGGTCTCTGCCTTCACAGCCTATTGTGGCAAAACATTTCACGATCTAATAACTCTCTTTGCGATAACATTTCTTCTAAGCCCACCCAGTGATGCCCTTTGTTACTAATTCACTAACCAACAGAATAATCTTTCACTATTTATCCTCTCAAAACCTTTCAGAATTGTCTTGCCTTCTCTGTTCTAATGAAAACAGCCTCGGTGTTTAAGCCTCTCATCGCAAGATTGATGCCACTCTAATTTGTGAGCATTAGCAAGAGAAATGCTATAAAATAAGGCATGCGTCACATACTTACTCCCACACACTCACAATACATGAACACACAACATAAAACAAAATACATACACACCATACAAAATATGCACAATACAATGCCCACACTCAATGCACACGCGCAGAGGAAAATACACACACACACAGGAAAATACACACACACACAGGAAAATATGCACACAATACACACACACAGGAAAATACACACACACAGGAAAATATGCACACAATACACACACACAGGAAAATACACGCATCGTTAACTACTTGCATTTATATAGCAGGATAGCGTATCAGAGCACTTTACAAGGATGGGGTTGGGCACTGAGTAAGGGAGAAGGTAAGGGAGAAGGGAGAGTTGGCCGAATAGGTCGGTTTTGAGGATGGATTTGAAGACATATAGACCGGTGGTGGCTCAGAGAGGGCAGGAAAACTGTGATAGATGAGCAGGGGGGGTGGTGGGGGGACAAATGGAGGACTAGATTAGAAAATCAGAGAGATAGGAGGTGCCAGGGCGTGGAAGGATTTGGGTGAGGGTGAAGACCCTGAAATCGATTAGCTGAAAGATAGTGAGTCAACAGAGTTAGGCAAGACCTAGTTAATGGGCATTTGGTGTTTGGTGTGGGTGACGATGTGGGTGGTTGAGTTGGAGCTTAGGAATGGTAGAGCGAAGCAGACCAGCAAGGAGTACATTAGAAAAGTCTAAGTGGGAGGAAAAATAGGTGTGAATAAGTATTTAGTTGAGACAGGGTGGAGCCAGGTGATGTTGTGGAGGTGAAGGAAAGCAGTCTTGGTCTGAGTTGGATACGAAGCAGAAAGGAAAGTTGGGGATTGAACTTGATGCCAGAGTTGAGCAGTGGACAATATACATACACACCCGTGGGTGTCAGCCTGGCTCACTCTCTCCCCCGCCTGAGTCAGACGGTTGTGGGTTCGAGCCCTATGTTGGAACTTGGAATCACACAGTCCAAGCTGACACTCCAATGCAGTGTTGGGTGGGGAGATGCATTGTCGGAAGTGCCGTCCTTCGGCTGAGACGAGTTCCCACCTGTCTATTCAGGTAGACGTAAGAGATCCTCTTCCCGCGGTGGCCAACAATCCCCCGAATAAAAATTGGTCACTCACGCCACGGCTGTTTGTGGAGCAGTGCAGTGTGCAGTCGGCTGCCTTGCTTTGTGTCCCACAAATACACAGTCAATGCGTTTTACAGTATTTCCTGTGAAGCGCTTTGCACACACAAACACATAATACACACACTACAGCGTGACCCACAAACACATAATACACACACACTACAGTGTGACACACAAACACATAATACACATACTACAGCGTGCACACACAAACACATAATATACACACAGTACACACGCACACAGACCGAATACACACACACTACATACACACACACAATACATGCACACTATATGCACACACAAACACAATATACACACAGTACATACACACACACAGAATGTACGCACACTATATGCACACACACAAACACACAATATACACATACTACATGGACACGCATACATACACTACACATATAATTCACCCGCACGCACACAATATACCTTTGTGTCCATACAATCACATGTACAGACAATACTCACACACACTATACACTCGCGCACACACACTATACGCCCACGCGCACACACACACACTATACACCCACACACACAGTTTACACCCACGCACACACACACACTATACACCCATGCACACTGTACCCCGGCCCGCGCTTGTCCACGCCCGCCCACACGCGCACACGCCCGCGCACTCACACACTCACACACAATACACCCGCACGCACACACACACTACACACCCGCGACTCTCTCACATGGCTGACAGGCCACTCTAGACAGAGAATCAGGTACAGAGAGGACAGCGTGGCCGAGAGAGAGACACGGACAGAGATATACACAAATAGAGTAACAGACATAGAGAAAGTGAGAGGCAAATGCAGACAAGAACAAGAGAGAAAGACAAACAGACTGACAGACAGACATTAGAGATAGCAAGAGAGACAGACAGAGAGAAAGTGAGAGGTAGATACAGAGAAAATGCATAGCAAGAGAGACAGATAGATAGTCAGAGTGACAGAGCCAGAGAAAGAGAATATGCGAAGACAGATAGAGGGAGAGAGAAAGAGACAGACAGACAGAGGGAGAGAGACAGACAGAGAAATTGTGAGTGATGGAAGTGGGAAGGTGAACAACTCTTACCCACAGGACGCAGCTAACACAGATCCATCGAGCTCCTCGGCCAGCACAGCCCTTTGGGAGACCCAATGTGATAGACGGCATCTTAGTGCCCGGAGAGCAATGCTGGGAGATGGGAAAGTGAGGGTGAAGGCACGACTCCGAGCTAAGCACAGCAGAGAGACACAGACATTTTCCCTCTTTTATTTCCCCTGCCTCTCTCTCTCTCTCTCTCTCTCGCTCTCCCTCTTCGCTGGTCAGATCTGTCCCTCCGGAGCGGGACATTCACTACAAACTGCTAAATGCTTGTGAGACTCCCCCTGGTTGGGAAGCCACTCCCCCTCCTCAGCCTCTAAACCGCTTTACCCACTGAACCCAGTAAGTCCACCGGGATTTCCTTCGAGACCCACGTTTTGCTTTAACAACAGACAGCCCCAGACTGACGAGCCGGAGCCGTGAGCCGTAAGAGGGAAGAAAATAAAAAATCCTTTACAGTTCTCAATGATGCCATTTCATGCTGCAGTTTCCAGCTCAGCTCCAAGCATTGGGGAGCACCACACCTACACACCTACAGGGGAATCAAAACCAGAGCCACAAATTACCCCCTCCACCTCCCCCAAGGAAATGGTGGAGAAGCAGGGACGCCATTCCCCAACCACAGTCACAAAGAGGTCTTTATACCTTGTGAGCAGAGGCAGCCCAAGAGAAGCTGACAGTCAGCCCCAAAGGTACTGCTCAACACACTCGCACTCTTACACTCTCACATTCTCGCACTCCCGCACTCCCGCACTCACTTCCCCTCACACATTCACACTCATTTGGTTGGTAATCGGCCACCTGACACATGTGGAAACCCATCACTGTGTTTAAGAGTATTCAAACCAGAGTTCCATGTGCACCATCTACATTTGGAGATTTCTTTGGGTCTGGAATGGAACAGACACTGTATTCCGAGGGACACACACTGCTCACCCAAACCCAGAGTGTACGTTGGGGTGACTGCTGGGGTCTAACCAGTTAAATCTGCATAGCATTGAGAGCACTATCTGGCAAGCTTTACAGTACTTGTCCAGCTAGGACCACCCAACCTAGGGCCTTGGCTTGCAGGTTAACCAGGAGCTGAGTGGGAAGAATTCCTACCCCCAGCAGTTTAACCCCCCGAGTCCTGCTGATGAGCAGCCTGGCTGTGCAGTGTTCTGGAGCGCTGAGGACCCCTCTTTTCCAAAAGTGCTGTGGGATCTTTAACATCTCATCCAAATGACGACACCGCTGACATTGCAGCATTCCCCCAGTACTGACATAGTGACTCACACCCACACCTTCCTGACCCCTGAAATGAGAGGGAGTGTGGCCTAAGCCTGAAGAGTGGTTGAGAATGAGCCAGTCAGGCAGTTTGTGAGGGTGGGGGGTCAGTGTCACAATGAGGGTGTGTGGGGGGGCAGTGCCACAGTGAGAGGTGTGGGGGGGGGGGGGTGGGGCAGTGTTACAGTGAGGGGTGTATTCTGTCTATGTTACAGTGAGGGGTGTGGGGGGTGGGGGGGCAGTGTCACAGTGAGAGTTGTGGGGTGGGGGGCAGTGTTACAGTGAGGGGTGTGGGGGGGGGGCAGTGCTACAGTGAGGGGTGGGGGGGGGCAGTGCTACAGTGAGGGGTGTATTCTGTGTTTATGTTACAGTGAGGGGTGTGGGGGGCAATGTTAAGGGGTATATTGTATGTCTGTGTTACAGTGAGGGGTGTGGGGGGTGGGGGGCAGTGTTACAGTGAGGGGTGTGGGGGGTAGGGGGCAGTGTTACAGTGAGGGGTGTGGGGGTGGGGGCAGTGTTACAGTGAGGGGTGTGGGGGGTGGGGGGCAGTGTTACAGTGAGGGGTGTGGGGGGCAGTGTTAAGGGGTATATTGTATGTCTGTGTTACAGTGGGGGTGGGGGGCAGTGTTACAGTGAGGGGTGTGGGGGGGAGTGTTAAGGGGCATATTGTATGTCTGTGTTACAGTGAGGGGTGTGGGGGGTGGGGGGCAGTGTTACAGTGAGGGGGGTGGGGGGCAGTGTTACAGTGAGGGGGGTGGGGGGTATGCCAGGGTGTCAGAGGCAGGACTGTGGCTGAACTCATAAAGCTGCCAACATGCAAAACAGACGAATAGCTGGAGAAGTGAGACTCACACACTAATAACCTTCCCGAGACTCTCTGTGAGACATGTGCCGGTTTTAATTAAGGATTCAGAGACATAAATTCCTCAATGGTTCAATTTAGCATGTCTGGTAATGTGCTGAGAATTAGCCTTGCTTCAGGCGAGAGCGCTGGGGGAGTGAGTGTGTTCAATCCCCTGTCAAGACTGCGATTTCATCCCCTGCACACTCAGCTCTGCTCCATCAGCTTGACTCCATCGCTTTGTGCCTCTACAGCCTCCTGGGCTGTGACTGTCCTGTGTGGGCAGTCATGCTTTCTGATCTCACCTCTAGCTATCCTGATGGAATGGGAAGCCAGTGCCTCTGGTTTCGGATCCTCCTACAGAAACAAAAGTTGCCCACTGTCCAGGTTGTCAAGTCCTTTCATTACAACAACTGCACTGGAACACTAATACATCTCTCAGACACGTGGAATTCTCAGTCTGGTTTGGAGATTGGTTTCAATATGTGTCAGACAACCGTTTGCCCAAAAGAAAGCCAGCCTTTTATCAGAACTATCTTCTAAAGCTCAGTTCTGTTGGCTTCCTACCTCTGTGCCCCTCATTACAAAAGGCTGAGTAGATCCAGGTCACAAACAAGACAAAGCAGTTATTATTCTGTAAGACACATTCCCATTGTTCCTGCCACAGATTCCCCCACCCCCACCCAACAACTCAAGCCTGTCCCAAACAAAATGGTGCCTTTGACCATCACATTGAAGCTTCAAGGGAGGTCAATCAAGCGGAAATAGGCCATCGTGCAAATTCCTGCTCTGAGATCCTCCACATCATCTGACTCGAGGACAGGTCTTGTGAGAGACCAGCTGACCAGTGATCCCAATACCAGACACAATCTATATGAAGAGAAGCTGAGATAAATTGCTTTTCTCAATCTGGAGATTGAGAGGGAACAAGATCAAGTTCTTTAAGGTTCTAAAGATACAAGAACATGAAAATAGGGAAAACAAACCTCCTTGAGTAGGGAATAAGTAATGAGGGGGCACAGTTTGAGGACTGTTAGCAACAGAATCAGGGAAGAGATTAGAGAGAAGTTTTTCCCTAAGACTTGTCAGGGTTTGGAAATCATTTCCACAAGCGGATTAATGGGGCAAATGGCCGCATTAATAGAATTGTTTAAAAGGGAACTGGATAGGCCCCTGAGCAGTAAAGATATTAAGGGATGTAGAAAGAGAACTGGGATGTGGGACTACAGTAGTAATAAAATTGCTATTACAGGCAGCAGTGGGCAAACACAATGGGCTGGATGGGGGGAGAGCCTGAGATCAGTGTCAGCACCGAGCGGTGGGGGGGTGGGGGGGAGAGCCTGAGATCAGTGATGGCACCGAGCGGTGGGGGGGTGGGGGGGAGAGCCTGAGATCAGTGTCAGCACCGAGCGGTGGGGGGTTGGGGGGAGAGCCTGAGATCAGTGTCAGCACCGAGCGGTGGGGGGGGAGAGCCTGAGATCAGTGACAGCACAGAGCGGGGTCAGAGCTGGGACCGTTCTGCTCCACACAGTTTGGTTGGTTTTGCCCCAGGATGGAAATCAAAGCTCGAAGCCTTTCACATACTTTTGTTTAAAATTTCAGGGGAAGTACCACAAAAAAAAGAGTTCTGAGTTTTCATTCCTGGGAGAGGCTGAATCATGGTCAACAAAACTACAGCCAACGTTCGTCAGGCTTTTGCTCCTTTTTCCCTCTCCCGTCAGCCCTCAAGGTTTGACTAAAAACTCTGCTCTGACAGGAAGCAATTCTCAAATTTAGGGAGATTTTATGGATTGCAAAAACCCCCCACACATGTTTCCCATATATTCCTGGGTCTGTGTGCAGGGATTGGCTGTCACGTCCTGCCCGTGTACTGAGCTAAATGGAAACCACATGCTAATCCCAGCAACACCGAGCATCTGGAGTGACACAGTGCGTGCTGGCAGGAGGCCAGACTGCAACCCATTTCCCTTCTGTACATCCCAAGTACCTCCCAGAGCTTTTCCTAACCAGTTGCAGAAATTCAAGAATTCCACTGGGCAGACGGTCAGTAAGTCAGTTGGTTGGCACTGTGTTCCCATTTGCCTCTTCTCTCCCCCCCTTTCATTGCCCCCCTCCCCCCCCCCCCCCCACCACACACAGTTGCACTGATCCCAAACGCATGATGGTTCTTAAAGGGCAAAGAGAGAATTTTATGCAAACATTTTCAAGTTGGAAGCACTTTTACTCGCTTCCAAAACAAAAAAAACGAGCTTGTGTGAGCCTATTCAGAGGAATGTTAAGGTTCCCAGAGTTACTATTGGAAAACAGATTTGAGGTTCCCTGGTGCCCTGGCCAGCTATCCTCCTGATCAATCAGTCACTCGCTTCAAAGCTGTTTGTTTGTTGGATCTTGCTGTGGGAATATTGCCTACAAGAATACTACAGTAAGTCACTACACTTAGCAGTAATTCCCTCACAAACACCCCACTACATCCACCCACATGTGTGCTCGCCCACCCCACTCCACAAACACACACTAGCTGTAAAGCACCAGATGGGAACAAGTTTTAATCCAGAGGTACTGCACACACACGAGCTGGTGCTGAGGCACAAACCATAGAGCACCAGACAGGAAATAATCATTCCCTTTTAGGTCTCCAGAACTCCCCACTGAAGTCTGGTCACAGCAATATGGACTGCACACAAGGGAATCAATGACCTCCCCACCATCACTCCTTCCAGTCACTCAGGAAAATGAACAGCTCTACTCAGCCACACATCCTGCCCCAAATATACACACAGCCCCAAACACCCACTCCGCACAATGCCCCCACCCCCACAACACCCCCCACAATGCCTCCACACAACACCCCCACCCCCCACAATGCATTCACCCCTCCAACACACACTCACACCGACCTCCAAACACACCAAATGAACATA